CAGTGACCAATATCTAACACAGACCCTAGCCTTGTGGTAGCCCCTGAGGACACAGGAGGTGCCCACCCCTCTCTCCCAACCCCATGGGGTGGTGGGTGGGATCATCCCCAAAGTGGGTCAGAGCAGGCGCATGGGCAAGTGGGCAGCTGGACCGCTGGGCTCAGTCAGTGCAGGACAGGAGGCTGAGTCCTCCACCCGCCCACCCCCAACCTGGGCATGTGACACAGGGAGCAGATGGACCTCAGAAAGCAGACTGCCAGACTGTTCTTCATGGCTCCCTGCTTCCTGCTCAACAAGAAACTCCTTCAGACTCTTAGGGAAGAACAAGGCTGGTTGCCTTCAGGGAGCTAGATACCGAGACCAGAGCACCAGAAGCCGGCAGATCCCACTCCACAGTGCCTGCCGGGAGTGTGTCTCCACGAGTCCCTTGTGGGGAGCCAGGTGGCCAGGACAGTGCCCATCACTCCTTTCAGAGCAGGGAAGGGGCCTGAGCCAAATGGGGAGGAGGTAGCCCATCGTCCTAACCCTGACCAGGTAGGATTGGGTCCCAGGAGCAGCCAGGCTCAGCTCTAACGTGATAGGGAGAAGCCTAAATCCCCACAGTACACCCGAGGAACCCCTGCAAGGGTGTGGCCCAGATGTAGCTGCAGACATGGGCGTTGGCACTGATCCCCTCCCCTCAACCCAAGCGGCTGTCACCATTCATGAGCCAGTGAGCACCGCTTGGGTCACTGCCTTACAATGGCCTCTGGAAGCCAGGTGCTCATGGTTACTGCGGGCAGCCGGGGTCGTGGAAGGAAGGCCACTGGTAGGCGGAACCAGACTGGAGGATGCTACTGAACCAAGCAGGGCACATACAAAGTCTGGGTGGGGGGATGGCCCCGGTGCAGGGGACTGACATGTAATTCAGACCAGGTAGGACCAGCATAGCCTGGATTCTGGCAAATCATGAGCTCTGTGTGTCTATGCATGTGTGCATCTGTGTGTACACTAAGTGTGCGTGTGTGTGGTCATATGTGCATTTGGTAGGCGTGCCTGTGTGAGCTTCAGCCCCTGAAGGAGTCTGTGCTGACACCCTGGGGTGCTAAGTGATGCTAATTGCCAACACCCTTGGATATTAGCAGCTCAGCCTAGAGAGATTGGGCAGGACCCCAGGTGTTGGCTGCCCCTGTGGACACACCTCCCAGTCTGGAGAGTACAGCTCCTCTGAGCCAGCTCCAAGCTGAGCAAGGTGACTCACAGCCCAGGAGAGACAGCTGGCCTGGCCCAGAAGGGGTCCCCCAGGCGCATGTGAGCCCAGGCGTGTGTGTGTGTGTGTGTGTGTGTGTGTGTGTGTGGTGGGGGAGGGGGGACGATTGTCAAAGGGCCACTGCTTAGGAGGGATGGAGCTCTCTGTCCCCAAGGGCTGGACCACATGACTGGAAAGGACTCAGGATTCTGGTGGAGGGGTTGGTGGACAGGGCTTCCTGAGATGGTGGACTTGGGAAGCCCATCTTGAAGCCAGTATCTTAGCATCTCTAGAGGCTGGGAGTCTGGAGGTCAGACCTTGGGCTGACCCTTGGAGTTCAGCCTGCCCCTACCTCCCCACCTCCTCAGGATAGCTCCCTTCTCAGGTTGGGTCTCAGAAGCTGTGGGCCTGGGGCTGAGAGCTGGGACCCAGGTCCGGTGCCCCTCCCTGTCTGCCTGCCCCAGCCAAGCTCTGGGTGGGCATTGTACCCTTGGCTTGTCAAGGAGTGGAGGGAACACAGAGGAAGGAGGGCGGGGGCGCGGGCAGCCCCTGAGATAATGGCCTGGCCTCTTTCTGGAGGAGGAGGAAGAATGGAGCCCAAGGCTCCAGTGCGGAGGTTGGCTGAGACCTCTGGGGTGATAATGGGGCACCGATTCAATGTTCCTGAGCGGCAGCAGCAGCCGCCTTGGTTGTCACCTGCCACAGGTCCCTGTGGGCAGCCTCTGAACACATCCTGCTTCAGTGGAGGCTGTGCCACCCGCCTGAACTGCCCACCTTCCTCCTGCCCTTTTGGGGGAGGGGGGCACCTGAGCAGAGAATGTCAACACTGTCACCAAGGGATCTGGTTCAAGCCTTTGCTGTCCCCTGAATGGGTCACCATGGGGCATTGAACCTCTGGGTCAGTTCCCTCACAAAAAGGGACACTTGCCTTCCTGACCAGGCTGAACTGGCCAGGTTGGCCACTGCCCCTCAATCTCCTGTCTGAGCTCACAGGTCCCCCTCCTCTAGGAAGACCTGCCTTGGGTGGAGTGGGGTAGAGGCCGCAGCTATACAGGCCAGAGGCCCACCCAGTTGGTCTGGCCACCCAGTTGGTCTGGAGTCCTGAATCAGGGGCAACAGGGCTGGGTGAGCCGTGGGGAGGCAGGCAGGGGTCCTGGCCACTTGACATTGGTCACACTCATACAGGCACACAGTGGCCAGCTGCCTTCCCTGACACACGCCCTCAGACCCCAGAGCCCAGGCTCGCACATAGAATCGTGGAAAGGGGCCGCTGTGACTGCCACACTCATTAATGGGCCCTCGGGGATGTGTGTGTGTGCACACAACTCTGTCACACAGCTGCACACACTCATACAGGTACACACAACCACACAGAATACAACACGTACAAACACATGCGCACACACAATGCACCATAAAACACAATACTCACATATACGTGAACCCCCCACACCACACATATATGTACACAGCACATCCACACATGTGCACACACCACACATGATACATTTACACATGTGCACATACCACACAAAACAATACATGCACTCACACACGTGCACATGCACCATACAGTACAACACAATACACGCACACATGCACATTCACATGTGCAACACAACACACACGCACTCACATGTGCACACACCATACAACACGTGCACACACCACACAAGACAGCACACACTCACACATATGCACACGTACCATACACAATATAACTCACACGCACACATACACAATACAACACACATGCATGCATACACATACATGTGCACACACAGAAACATTCACACTCACACACCATATATAATAACACATATACACATTTACATTCACACATGCAGGCAAGCACAACACACATAATCAAACAACATACATGCACACATGTGCACACATACACACCATACAGACAGACATGCACACTCCTCAGCCTGCAGCTTGCCAGCTCCTCCCTGGGAGACATGCCAGGCCGGCTGGGATTCCACAGCCACGAAGACTCCCAGTTCTGGCAGCTTCTGGGCCTCACCCTCCCCCCCCACGTGCCCCTCCTTCCTCTTCTTTGCCCACCCACTCGCCTTTAATTAGAAATGCCAAGAGAGCGATTTTCTGGGAGATTTTACCAGAAAGACATTCCCCCCAGGGGCGGAAGAAGAGGAGAGACAGATTGGGGTGGGGTGGGGGGGAGAAAATTAGGGCTCCTGGAGGAGAGAGCTCTGGGGGCAGGGGGAGCAGGGAGGGGTTCCAGGGAGTGTGGAACCTGCGAGCTCTGAGTGTGAATAAGATCGAGTGGGTCTAGTGCAGTGTGGGGGGCACGGGTGGGGGGTATGAGTGTGCCTGTGGGGGGCACGGGTGGGGGTATGAGTGTGCAGTGTGAGTGACTGGCAGAGGGGTAAGACACGGTGTAGAACCTGAGCTCAGATAACCGAGGTCCAGGAGCACCCCATCGTTCAGAGTTGGGACAACCCCGGAGGGCGCCCCTCCCCCAGCCCGTTGCCCAGGAGGCGGAAGGGGCCTCCCTCCTGGGGGAACCTCGTTTCCGGAGCTCCTTATATGGAGTTCGCAGCTCTCAGCGGGTGCTGACGGGGCTCGGCTGCCGGCACCCTCCCCCATCTCTCCTCCTTGGAATCTGGGCGCTGCTGGCCAGGCTGAGGCTGGGGACTGAGGCTCTGAGGTTCAGGGGAGTATCCTTCAGGAGGCTGGAGATCCTACCATCTGTAGCCCTGACCCCCAGTATCAAGCAGAAATCACAGAGCTGCTAAATACAGAAGTCTTGGGCTTCAAGACAAATCGGGGTGGTGGGCGGGGTCACACAGCCACACCAGTGTGGTGGGTCCCCCCGGACAGGAGCGTGTGGCCCCAGGATAACTCACATCCCCCCACCCATGACCCAGGGAGACCCAGTCACGTGTGTGAAGACCACCCTGAGCTCAGGGAAGGAAAGGGAGTCCGAATCGGGGGCGGGGGTCGTTGTCCCGGCTCTCCAGTGACCACACTCGGCGAAGCCCTACTGGGCAGATGGGGGCGAGGAGCCCAAGAAGCAGTGGTTCAGCAGCCCCTCCCCAGTCCGAAAGGGATAAGGACCAGAGGCCAGAGCCAGCGACACTGGTGGGGAGGGGGCTTCCTCCTTACCCTGCTAGAGGTGGGGGCGACAGGTAAAAAGCTGTCTCGGCTCCCTCCTCATATGCTCTTCCCCCCCCATCTCCACCCCCCCACCCCCCCACCCCCGCCGTGCGTGGCCGGGGTGGGTGTCGTCCCCAGAACGACCCGGGGTGGCGGTGAGGTGTCCGCAGGCTGAGCTGCTGAGTCGAGCCGCTTAGTCAGCCCGCCGCCGAGTCGGGAGTGCAGGGGGTGGGGCCTCCTCCGCCGGTAGGCTCGGGGG